CAAACTGGATCCAAAATATTAACTCTGCTTTCTCTCCACAGATGCTGCCAGACCTGTCAAGTTTCTCTAGCAATTTCTATTTTTGTTTCAGATTTATAGCATCTACAGTTTTGTATTGTTTTATTTTTGTTAGGTCAATATGTTAAGGGTAGACAAAGAGATAAAGCACAGTATGATGAACGTGCCAAAGGGTTGTGATGGAGGGTTGTTTCTCTGACTGGAGGCCTGCTATCAGTGGTGTTCCACAGGGATCGGTGCTGGGTCTACTTTTGCTTGTCATTTATATAAATGATTTAGAATATAGAATGCATGGTTAATAGGTTTGTGGACAGCACCAAAATTGTCGGTGCGGTGGACTGCGAGGAGGGTTATCTAAGATTATAAAAGGATCTTGGTCAATTGGATCAATGAACTGAGGAGTTGCAGATGGAGTTTAATTTGGATAAATATTTTGCATTTTGGTAAAACAAACAAGGGCAGGACTTATACAATTAAAAGTAGAACAGAGAGAGCTAGGGGTTCAGGTAAAAAAATTCTTTGAAGTTTGCATCACATGTAGACACGATTGTTCAGAAGGTATTTAGCACGCTTGTCTTCATTACTCAGATCTTTGAGTATAGAAGTTGGGAGGTCATGTTGAGGTTGTACAGGATGTTGATGAGGCCTCTTCTGGAATACTGTGTCCAGCTCTAGCTGCCCTGTTATAGGAAGGATATTATTAAGCTGGAGAGGGTTCAGAAAAGATTTACCAGGATGTTGCTGGGAATGAAGGGTTTGAAATATAAGGAGAGGCTGGATAGGCTGGGACTCTTTTCACTGGACTATAGTAGGTTGAAGGGTGAGCTTATCGAAGTTTATAAAGTCATGGGGGGCATAGATAAGGTGAATGCAGGTGTCTTTTCGCTAGTGAGGGTGATTTCAAGAATAGCGGGCATATTTTTAAGGTGAGAGGAGAAAGATTGGGAAAAGACATGAGGGACAACTTTTTTACACAGACAGTGGATCGTATGGGGGATGGACTTCCAGAAGATATGGTGGATGCAGGTACAGTTATAATGTTTAAAAGACACTTGCATAAGTATAAGCATGAGAAAGGTTTGAAGGTATATGGGTCAAATGTAGGCAAGTGGAACTAGTTTAGTTTAGGATTATAGTTGGCATGGATTGGTTGGACTGAAGGATCTGTTTCCGTGCTATATGACTCTATATCTCGGAGATGTTCTGGCCAAAGCCACCTTTTGTAGTTGTTCCCTTGTTTCTTGCAAACATTTAGAGAAAATGTATAAGATGGGTAAGTTCTAGTTGAGATGAAAGGCCAGAAACCTGAAAGTGTATAAGCTGCTGAGTGCGGTAGCTCCCTCCATATTTAACACTGAACCCTAACAGATGTGACAGCACCAGTAGTAAGGTGGGTGCCCATTGTCAATGGGACATATCCCATGCACAAGAGGCTTTTGCCAATTGGAATGTTGCAACCGCATGAAAGTTGTACTGGTCTTATCTCCTGGATGCCCAGCAGAAGAACATCTAGGGAAATGTCGCTGACGTGTGGAGCCACTTTCTGGTGTCAGACATCTCAAGGGACAGGTGAAAGTGACCAACAGAGGTTTGAGTGCTGCTCCTGACTTGCAGAAAACTAAGTGTTGTCAGAGCGGCTTTGAAGTACATTGCCCAGAAGCTGGAGTCTGGGAGGTCTGAATGACCATCAGAACTTCCTGCCTGTATGATTTGTTAGTCTACTTATGTACATAGGTAGAAAGAGGTACACCTTGTCCCAAACAGAAGAACTATTACTTTAAGGCCTGAAGCCATACTTGGTCTCAAAAAGTAAAACTTCTTTCTCTTTTTAGTCTACAGATTCATTAGAAGTTGAGGTGCAACATTAATTTTGTTGCCAAGCTGTCAGATGAGTATTTTTATGGACCAGGTTACAAAATAATTAGAAAGACAGCTATAATTAAATGACAAAAGGAATTGTGGTGAAAGGAGGGGAGAGCTATTGAGACAAAAGGTACACCTAGAGGAAGTATGAATCGTAAATAGTGAACAATTGCTGTCCAAAAACAAAAGCAAGAGTAAAACCAAAGAAAAAACAGAAACTTACAAAAAGAAAAGAAACACAATGAGTGAACGACTGCATTTTGTAATTTTGAACTCAGTATTGAGCCCAGAGGGGGACTGTAAGATGCCTAAAGGAAAGATGAAGTGCTATTCCTCAAACTTATATCATTGGAACAACCTTTCTAAGCTTCTTCCTATGCAGCTCATCTTTCTACTACTGATATGGGAACTTTGCTAGTAGTTTAACACTTGCCATCATTCTACACATCTCTCTCCAAAATGACTGGTCATTGGAGTACAAGGTCCTTGCTGTTTGTGAACTTATTGTGGATGACTCATTTGATATGGCTTTAATGAAAATATGGCTGAGGATGGACTACATCTACCTCTTTAGTGAAGCTTCTGAGCCTGGCTATATCTTCACCCATTCACCCAATGAAGACCATTGTGGTGGTATTATTACGAGTTCATAACTTGACCTGACCTGTTAGTTTCAGATACTCTATCGCTCTTCCAGCATCCCAGCTTATTCCAGTCTCTCATCTCTCTTTCGTCATTCTGTGCCATATACTCAGGAATAAATATTTTATTACCAAAATGTCTTCACTGCTTTACTTCCTCAGCCTCCACATCAAATAACTTCTCGTTCTTAGTGATTTCAAATTGCATCTCAACTCATCACCTTCTCTCTCCTGAGTTGACTGGCCTCCTGTCCTCTCTAAATTTGTTCCTCCATATAAACTCCCATCACATTTGTGGCCGTCTTGTTAACTTTGCCATTTTACCTGGTCTTTCTAGTCTCAGTTTTAGTCACAGTAAAGCCATTTTTGACCACTTTCTTACATTAGTCATCAGCCCTACCACCTTTCAGGCCTCAACTTGAACTCCTCTGTATCTATTCCTAAGAAAAAAAAGATTCACAACAGCATGTTCAGAGCCTCAGCCTTGTACCTTGGTCCTTTGCACATTATAATACTTCTGCAGCTCTGATTTAGTCAACGTGTTTTCACCTCTACCTTTGTTGCCATTGTACCCAATAAAACATTCTCTCATCCAGGATATTCCTTCAGAACTGAAGGATTTTCAACCAGAATTGCCAAGTGGATGATTTATCTTGGCCTTCTCCTGAGGTCTGCAGCAAATTTAATTCACTGCACATAATTTCAAGAAACAATTGAAGGAAATGAATCTTACTAAGGTTATTGGCCTTGATAATATTTCAGTATTAACACTGAAGACTTGTGCTTCAGGGCTAACGAGACCCTGGTCATGCTGCTCCAGTACAATAAAAATACTGGCATTTTACTGGTGATGTAGTAAATTTCCCAAGAATGTGCTGTCCCCACAAAAAGCAGGAAAAGTTCAACTGATTACTGTCCCATCAACTACTTTTGATCATCAGTGAAGTTATAGAATAGCTTGTTGACAGTGTGATCATGTGGTAGTTGCCCAGTGATAATCTACTCATGCTCATCAGTTTGGATACCACCAGGGCTATTCAGCTCCTCACCTCATTGCAGTGTTGGTCCAAACATATACAAAAGAGCTGAATTACAGAGGTGAGCTGAGAGAGACTGCCCTTGGCATTCATAGAGTCATAGAATTATATAGCATGGAAACAGACCATTCAGTCCAACTTGTCCATGCCGACCAGATATCCTAGATAAGTCTAGTCCCATTTGCCAGCATTTGGCTCATATCCTTCTAAACCCTTACTATTCATGTAACCATCCAAATGGCTTTTAAATGTTGTAATTGTACCAGCCTCCACCACTTACTCTGGAAGCTCATTCCATACACGCGCCAGCCACTGCATGAAAATGTTGCCCCTTAGGTCCCTTTTATATCTTTCCCCTCTCACCTTAAACCAATGCCCTCTAGTTTTGGGCTCCTCTACCCTGGGGAAAGGTCCTTGGCTCTTTGCCCTGTACATGTCCTTTGTGATTTGATAAACCTCTGTAAGGCCATGTCTCAGCCCATGATGCTCCAGGGAACAAAGCCCCAGCCTATTCAGCCTCTCCCTGTAGCTCAAACCCTTCAACCCCGGCAACATCCCTGTAAATGTTTTCTGCAGCTTTTCAAGTTTAACAATACCTTTCCTACTGCAGGGAGACCAGAATTGAATGCAGTTTGGTGACCCTAACATGGCATTTGCAATCTTCTCAATTGAAGGTGTCATGCATCTGTCTTTTACCCAATCAAGGTAAAGACACTGAGATTGAAGTTACTTGTATTGCTCATGAAATAATTGATCACGGAGAGTCATTCAGAGAGAACTGTCAATGTTATGGCTGAAGTGTTACCCTGGGGAAGGCTGCCATCTGTGCAAATCTTTGCACTATTCTTTGACACGATGAAACAAGATGCTTCATCAAGTATAGATCCTTGGTCACTGTCCTTAATGTAGATTGCAAAATGTAACATATCTCTAGCATAGACTGCAAGTAGTCAGATGCTGCAAATGCTGTTTCTTGTAATAATCTTATGTTATATAAATGCTCTTAAAAAATTCCTTCCATTCTTTTGTCTCACGTCTTACATACCTTTTCAAAACCCTTCATCCTGTTGAATACCCCTACTGAATTTCTTTATTCCAGCCATTATTATCACTTCTTTATTCCAATGAAAGGAATCTTGGTGTCTGCGTTGTTTGGCAGGATTTAAACTGCGAATTTCTTTGATGATTTCAGTAAGTAAGTGATTGACTATCTCTTTGCCCTCTTAAGATTTTTCCTTTGGGAAAGCTCCCAAATCTGGAGACAATATTCTGGCCAAATCAACAATGTGTACAGGATTAGCATTGCATTCTTTGCTTTTATGCACCAAATCTCTATTTATACAAAGCAAGAACCCAAGTAATTTTTAAACCATTTCAACTAGTATTTATGTGTTACTTTGCACTCAGGTGACATGAAATCCTTATGTTTAATTTTGTTTACCTCCTCCATTTCAAAGGAATCTGGTGGCTGATCAGTTGTGCAGAATTTCCATTTCTTTGTCTGGTACATAATGAGTCGGGATCTTCTGTCTCTGCCTTTGGCGGTCATTTCATGCACGAGATAATCTTGGCCCTCCTTCACTTTAAGAGGCAGATCAGAAGCCTTGTTCTCAGTCTCATTCTGTCCTATTGTCAGTGGTGCCAAAACACTGTCTTCAGGTATAGACTGGTGAGCACATTGGAAAGCAGCCTGTCTATCCCTTGCCGAAGATTTCTCATCACTCCCTGTGAAACCTTGAGAGTGATTCCTGCTCTGGGACATATTCGTCAGCAATTTCCTGCATTTTGTCTTTGCATCCAGCTTCTGTTTCTTCTCAGGCGATGGAGTTTGGTTGCTTGTCTCCATTAACAAGGAGGAGAACGTATTATTTACTTGTTGTAAGACTTCAAGTTGCCGGAAACGACCTGAATGGACAACAGTGGGACAAAAATATCATGGGTTAACTTGGTAGGACGTTATCACATTCAAATACTATTTTCTTTTAAACCATCAGATTTGTCACAGCCTTAAATATTTCCAGGAGGATTTTTGGATCATCCTGAGTAAAATTGAATTAACTTGAGCAACAATTAACCTCATTATGTCCCCTTTATTGGAGATACTATCAGCTGAAAACTCAATTATTCTCTAATCTTTAGAACAGAATAATTTTGGTATTTAAGCCAAACATTCAAATATCATGTCAGGAAACATTTATTTATTATGCCCTCATTACACAATATGGAGAATAGCAGGAAAGTGGAATTGTGACTGGAGGAGCTCACATTTACTGGTGAAGCAAGCTCACAATGGTCTGCTGCTTCTCTCTCTTATGGTCCATTTGTTCAAAGAAAGACTAGTGAAAACCTAGAACTCTCTCTGTCAAAAGTCTATTGAGGCTACCTCAAATAAAGAAGGTTCAAAACTGTGATTGCTACATTTATGTTGGGTAAAAATATCAAAGGATATGGAACCAAGCAGATGAAGGGAGTTAAAAGTCATGATCCAATTGAATGGTTTGATGTTCAAAATTATCTTTCAACTTGAATATTAACTCTATTTCTATCTACATATGCTGGCTAATTGCTAAACTTTTCCTGCTTTTCTATGTCTAATTTCAGATTTCCAGCATCTGCAATATTTTGCTCTTGCACTCTTGCAGAAGAGAGCTATTTCTGGAACATTGGATGATAATAGAAGTTTTAAATCATAGTAAAAATCTCCCAGTCACATAGAACAAATGAACTTTGAAACTGAATTGGACCTATGAAATCTGAATGCTCATTACTGCTTCAAATAATCAAGCAGTTTCAAAGATCCAGTTGAAATGACTACATGAGATCGTGGGAACTGCTGATGCTGGAGAATCTGAGATAACAAGGCGTAGAGCTGGATGAACACAGCAGGCCAAGCAGCATCAGAGGAGCAGGAAAGCTGA